CAATTTGGAAAAACAATTAAAATCATTAAGTCGGATCCTGGCGGGGAGTTCTCCTCCACTCCTTTCCATGTCTTCTTTAAGTCTCAGTGCATTTTAGTTCAACAATCTTGTCCTGGCGTTTCCCAACAAAATGGTCCCGTCGAACGGAAATATCAACATGTTTTAGCATTGACTCGGGCTATGTTGTTTTAAGCACATATCCCGACTCGATTTTGGGTCGAAGCAGTTCATACCATCGTTCATCTCATTAATAGGCATCCCACTTCCACTCTCAATAATCTCCCACCATTCTACAAACTATATTCTAGACACCCTACTATTCACATCTTCGTGTCTTTGGCTGTACCTGTTATGTTCTTCTTGCCCAAAAAGAAAGAAATAAACTCTCACCTCGAGCCACTAAATGTGCATTCATGGGTAATAGTGACATTCACAAAGGATATGTTTTCTATGATCATGTGGCGCGAAGGATGCGTATCTCGCCTAGTTTTTTTTCATCGAGTTGGAGATGTATTTTGCTCCATCATCTTCCAGTTCGAGTTCGTCACAGGAGTCTTCCCAGGTGTCTAGTAATCTTATTGCATCATTTATTCCTTTCGTTGAACATACAGGACCTACTACCGATCTCCATGCCCCTAACAACTCCTCAGATTCAAATAATGATGATAGTGATGATGCAACTTCACTAGGGGATTCCACTACCTCTCAATCGGATCATGACGGGGAAGGAGATCCTCCCAGACCTCCTCCTGGCCCGCGGCGTTCTACTCGATCGAATTTGGGCCAACCGCCACCATGACTTCATGACTATATTGGGTTCTCTACTACTCCAGTAACTATTCCTACATGTTATGCACAGGCAGTTGGCCACCCCGAGTGGGACGCAGCTATGAAGGAAGAGCTTCAAGCTCTTCAAGAAAATAATACTTGGCTTGTTGTCAATCGCTCGCCTCCTCCTTGTTCAATAGTAGGCTGGAAGTGGGTATATAGTATCAAACGCCGATCTGATGGCACAATTGAGCGATACAAAGCACGTCTTGTAGCTCAAGGTTTTAAACAGGTTTATGGGGTGGATTATGAAGAGACTTTTGCGCCCGTTGCTCGCATGAAGACTGTACGTACTATGCTAGCGGTGGCTTCTATGCGTTGTTGGCCTCTCTTCCAACTTGACGTCAAGAATGCCTTCTTACATGGTGATCTTAAGGAGCTTCTTTATATGAAGTGCCCTCCTAGCATTGGTAATTCCCGTGGAGATCAAGTATGTTTGTTGAAGCGGTCTTTGTATGGGTTAAAGCAAGCTCCACGGGCATGGTTCGAAAAGTTCCATAGTACTATCCTGGGTATGGATTTTCGGCAGAGTGATAATGATCCATCATTGTTTATTCGTTCATCAACCCGTGGCTTAGTTTTGTTACTCATATATGTAGATGATATGATCGTAACAAGCAGTTCCCAGGATGGCATCAAGGCTCTCACTCACTCCCTACATTCTCATTTCAAATTAAAGGAAATGGGTTCCTTGTCATATTTCTTAGGGCTGGAAATAACTCGCTCCACGCATGGTATTTTTGTCTCTCAGAAGAAATATATCACTGATCTATTGACTAATGCCAGGTACTCCGAGTGCAAGCCTTGCTCTATGCCTATGGAGTTGAACACCAAGTTTAGCGTTGACGACGGTGAATTATTACCAGACTCTACATTTTTCAGGAAGCTTGCCGGTAGCCTAATCTACTTAGCTTCGACGCGACCTTACATTGCTTATGCAGTGCAAGTGGTGAGTTAATTTATGGGACAGCCTCGTCAACCTCATTTGAATGCAGTTTTCAGGATACTCAGGTACTTGAAAGGATCACGAGAGGTTGGGATCTATCTTCCCTCTACTCGTTGCTTCACTCTCGAAGCATTTTCTGATGCAGACCACGCTGGTTGTATTGATATTAGACGATCAACATCAGGGTGGTGTGTGAGATTGGGAAATTCATTCATCTCTTGGCGGTGTAAGAAGCAGGATAGAGTATCCAAATTTTCCACAGAAGTAGAATATCGATCTATGTTTGAAGTAAGTTCTGAAATCGTCTGGCTTCATCGATTATTGGGTGATTTCGAAGTCGAGCGCGCAAAGCCAATTCAACTGTTTGTAGATAATACCAGTGCAATACAAATAGCCACAAATCCAGTATTGCACGATCGCACCAAACACATTGAAGTACACGTTCACTATATTTGTCAGCTAGTGAGTGATGGCTTGATCAAGTTGAGTTACATTACTTCGGAGGATCAAACTCCTGATTTGCTTACCAAGGCTGTTACTGCAAGTCGACATTGGCTATTATCGAACAAATTGATGCTAAGAGATTATCATCAATTTGAGGGAGGGTGTTAAAGCCTAATGTCCTTTGATAATTGACAGCTCACACTTGTAATAATGATCAACCACCAACTACTCATATCATTGCCACACCCCCTTCGTCAGAAGGGTCAGAAACCCATTGTCATTGATAGCTAGATAAAGGAGGATAATATTTCTTTCATCTTCTTCAGCACCGATAACTGAGTCTTTCTTGTATAAATCCATTGCATTTGTGTACATTCGGGAATAAGAAAGATAGAAACAAAACTCTTCTTCAATTACTTTCAATGCATTCACGGGGAAGGTAGATTATGATGTTTGAGAAAGCACAAAATGTTGTTTTGCTTGAGAAGGAAGCATTGCTGATTACTTGTTTGTTGCATATGACATAGATAATTTCCAAATCATCTCAAGTGTTAGTAATGTGGTGGCCGTGGCGACACTGGCGAGGCGGCAACAACAAAAGAATTAAAAGCGCTATTGTTGAAGAAGATGACAGCAGAATCAGTGGCTTACCCGATGCTGTACTCTGCAAAATACTCTCTAAACTTAATGACACACCGCAGGCTGTGAGGACCATTTTTCTGTCCAAAAGGTGGAAGAACCTCTGGACTTGGGTTCCAACCCACTTTGGCCGGGTGTGAAATATCACCCCTATTTATGTGAGATAGTTGAGGCTTACTGGTTGTTACGTCACACCATTGGTATCCATGTGTTTGGAAACTCCTTAGGGTCAGTGACTAACCTGGATTTGAAGGACTACTGTGGATCAGCTGCCATTGCTGCTGCATCTGATTTCTTAATTCGGAGCAATGCTACAAAATGGAAGTACCATGATTATATGAATTTTCTGTGTCTGGAACTTTGAAGGATGACGCTAAATCAACTGCTATGGCTGATGATCTAACTCAAAAAATATGTTGCTGAATGGAGGTCCCCAGAGATTGTCAACTTTGTGCTGTCTAAACACCAGAATGCTTCATGTATTAGAGATTTCCAGCTTCATGGAGCTAAAGGTCTCGAGACAGCACTTTATGTGGCTCGCAATGCCAATGAATGGCTCTCCAAGGTGATCTGACCCGAGATTGAGACCATTGATATCAATTTTTGGGGATTTCGCTTCCAAGTCCAGCTTCCTCAGAGCTTTTACACCAACCTCAAGTAGCTTAGAGTACTGAAGTTGGGCATGGGATTCAGGCTCTCGCTAGATAATTGCAGCTTTCTCACATCCACTGGGGGGCCTTAGCGTCCCCAGCTTCAGCTGGTGCTTCCATGATGTCTAGGCTCATCTCTGGCTGCCCGGTTCTCGAAACGTTACATTTAGAGTGGGATTTGGAGTGCCGTCATTGTGTTCAGGTATTCCATATTTGTTCTTGTTCACTCAAGTGTTTGACTGTACCCTATGCTCAATGTGTTCTGGTTAAAAGTGCTGCCCCAATCCGATTTGATGCTTTTGCTACCTTGCGCGTCACAGCACCCAGCCTCGCACACGTCAGTTTCTGATCCACTGGTGGGAATTGCTGAATATAAACTCTGCAAAAATGATGGAATTAGTTTAAAGTATTCCACTGTTGCTAGTTGTGATCGTGGTGTTCGTCAGAACATTGCTATGATGCCCATCACTAATCTCTTCCATGCTCGGAATAACGTTGAGGAACTAAACAATTCCCCGCATTGTCATTTTGTTTTTGTTTTGATCTACTTTGAGAACTAATTAGTTGGTCATCTCTGTATGTTTTTACAGCTCAAATGATCATTGTGTCAGACAACGAGAGCTCAAAACAGTTGCTCATTTGATCATCCGCCTTCGTGGCCAGTGGATGGGTTCTGTTGACGACTTTTTATGCACTGAGGAATCTAAATTTAGGATTGTGAATCTGACTTTTATTTGTCGATCAAGCAAAAGAGTGTCCGCAGCATTTGTCACTTAAAGTTTACTGTAGCAATAGAGGCCTGTATACTGTAACAATAGAGACTTTGGAACAGAGTGCTGCTATCTAATTTCTTTTGTTTTTCTTTGGTGAAAGTGCTGCTATCTGATTAACAAATACCAAACTGTCAAATGGATAACAGGTTACCAACCTACAGAAAAATGTGTTTTTGAACTAAGAAGAGAAAGACACTGCAATCCGAAATGGGTGCAACCATCAGCTACCTCCATCTCCAAATCTTCAAAAACATCTCAAGAAATATGATTCTGGTCTTAACTAAAACACAGTCTTTTCAATATCAACTCTTAATACGGGTTATGAGCCTTTACAATAACATCAAGGGTAGTTTTCTCAGCAGACATTAAACTCAGTCTCCTCTTCCAACTGGAATTCAACACTCAGTGGAATCTCCAATCACCCTTATGGCGGTCTCGACCCGTCTCTGTCTCGTAGAGCTCCACCAGCTCTGGCTTCCCCACAGTTAGATAATGAACAGAAAGCTGTTTAGGGTGGTCAGGACTCAGGAGAAATAACAAAAATAGCTGAGACACTAATTACTCATAGTCTCCAGTTTTCTACTAATGAACAGATATTCTTCTGCTTGAAATACTTGGTCTTGGAACAAGAATCCTAATTCTTACTTCCAAGTAATTGATCCCAATATCAAACAAGGAATTCGAAGTCGAAAGCATTGGTAAATAAATGGGTCAAGTTGCCCATTTTCTGGAAATTCATTATCAGAATGACTTCTAGTTGAACGTCAACCAGTGTGATCATATGAATATGGCAGAGCAAGCATATGAATAAATAAAAAAAATCAGACCTCTCACTTCATATGACACATTTCCTTTTATATCATAATCAGGACTTCAGTATTGTGGCTAGAAGTAAGTGCAGCAGCAAGCCAATTACTCTCACCCCAGATACAACACAGAAGGGAGGTTCATTTACTCAGAATTAATACTAACACTACTCTAAAACAAGCTACTGATCAAGACACTGAAACAATCAAGGCATAGGAGGGGGTTGATTGATTCCGAGGTAATACTAGCTAATAACACTAATCTAAAACAAGCTACTGATCAAGACAATGAAACAATCGAGGCATGTGTTTCAAGTTACAAGCTTTCCTCTCTTCTCTTTATCCAATCAAGGAGATGTAATCCCACGGCTGGCGAGTCTGTTTGATCTCCTCAATGGAGTAGCACTAGTTGGTGTTGTTGTCCCACCAGCAGGCACTGAATTGGTTGCCTTTCCTTTTCCTCCCTTCAATGAACAACATCAATTCAGTTCTCTTGATCAAATTAAAGCCAATCACAATACCAACTTAGGAATATAAACACACTTACCACTACCAACACCTCCTTCTTCCTGCTGCTAGGGCTGCTCGTGCTTGAGGCAGAAGCTGCAGTAGCAACTGGCTGAGGTTGAACATTTGATGATGCCTTCTTCTCTGGCTTCAACTGAGTTCCACCGCCAATGCCTCTAGACCCGATCCCCACAATCTCCCCAAGGAGTTCAACTGTTGGTGCTCCACTGGATTTAAAGGGAGCAACCCTTCTTTCCGGGATGAATGCATCGATAAGATTTTGTGGAGGCGACAATGGAGCCGGCTGTAAATCACGACCCTTACTTGGCAACAAGCCGTCGTTCCGAGCAACAGCCTTTTTCCTCTTCAAACCGCAGAGTAGTAGCACCAATACGAAGGTTGAAGCTGCTGCTATAACTGCAAGGATAGGCCCGAGGACTGGCCCATTGTCAACATTGAAGTCATAACTGAGCTTCTTAGTCAGTTCCATGTAGTCGTGATTTTCTTCTTCTACTTCTGTTGTTGTTAGTCTGGGATTAGGAGCCTTCCCATTCTCAAGCACGCCATCATCATTTGGCTGTTGAATTTCCCTGTAGTGAACCATTTCATCAGACATTCTTCCCGTATCAACATCCATTTGACCATTTCCTCCATCAATCAAGCTTTGTACTTCAGCAGCAGGCAGCAGTGGAAGAAAAAGTGGCTGCTGAAGTGACAGCAACTCTCCTTCTTCATCATCATCTTCTTGACCCTCCTTTTCCAGGGCTACTTCTTCACTTTCTGTAATCTTTTTCTCCATCACCAATTTGTCACCTTCATCAAGAGGAATATGAGGTTTGACGATCTTCAGCTGTGGAAGAAAAAGTGGCTGCTGAAATGACAACAGCTCTACTTCTTCATCATCTTCTCGACCCTCCTCCTCCAGAGTTACTTCTTCACCTTCCGTAATCTCTTTCTCCATCACCTGCTTCACTTCTTCACCTTCATCAAGAGGAATATGAGGTTTGATTATCTTCAGCAGTGATGGTGTTCCATCTTCATCCAACGACAACCAGCTTCCATTAACCTCTATTCTTGACACAAATGCAACTGGGTAGCTCTTAATTTCTTGATTGTGACGAAGGACATCAGCATAGTTAGGGAACCCATCAATCTCAACTGGGTTGCCATTCATTGAAGTGATATAAGCAGTGGAGAGTACCAAAACGGCCAGAACAAGCACGAATTGAAGAACCCCTCTACAAATTGAACTTCCTTCCATCTCCGTGTCATCAAAGTTCTCCTCTTCGACTTCATCATCACTCCCAATATACTCTTCTTCATTCTCTGAATCAGTTTCTTTGCTGGCTGAAGTCTCCAACAAAACTTCATCATCACTCCCAATATGCTCTTCTTCATTCTCTGAATTAGTTTCTTTGTTTGGCTTGTAGCGCAGAAATTGAGGTCTCGGGACTAGATTATTCCTTACTGGGTCGTAAGAAAATGGCGACCAATCGTCTGTTTCTTCCCTAATTTCTTTGTTGGCCTTCATCAAGTCGAAGTCGAGCAGTCTTGGAGAAGAAGGAATGGCGATTGGAGGATTGACCTCTGACGCTGTAGGTTTCATCATCGGCGACACGAACTGCTTTGGAGTGGGCTTATTGAGATTATCCGCATCTGGGCGACCCATTTCTTGTTTGGTCATCAAGTTCTCATCGCCATCTGGATTATCAGTCAAGTCGACGTTGAGTAATGTTGGAGAAGAAGGAAAGACAATTGGAGGATTCAGAGCTGTAGATTTCGTCATCGGCGACACCATTTCTTGAGTGGCCATCAAGTTCTCATCGCCATCTGGATTATCGGTCAATTACACGCAAAGGAGAAGATTTGAGAGATTGAAAGCAAAGTAGTGCAGATTTGAATGGAACGGAAGTTCTCTAGTTGCTGACCTTTAAAGGTAAGTATTGGAGATTCACTTCGTTCCCCTAAAATTTTCTTTCGGGAATGAACCTTTGAAGCTGCTGAGATTGTCGGTGACATGAAGCGCTTCATGGTCAGCGGCGAAATCAACGAGTTCTCGTCGGTGTCTATTAGGACAATTTACCACAGAATCAATAGCTGATTCAATTTTCTTGGAAATCAAAACAGGAACAGAAAATCTTGGAAAAGAAGACAAGGAATGGAGGAGAAACGAAAGACTGTGACAGAAAGGAAAGACGGACGAGATTTCCAGACCTTTTGGGGAAGGAGGAATTTTCTTTCCCAGCAATGGTGATGACTGATCGTGGGGATGAACGCCGGAGTTTTTTTCGCAGCAATGGCGACGACTGATCGTGGGAGACATGAACCGATTCATCGTCGGTGACATCAACCGCTTCTCGTCGGTGTCTATTGAGACGATTTATCACAGAATTAAGAGCAGATTCGATCTTGGAAATAAATTTCTTGGGAACCAAACATGAACAGAAAATCTTGGAAATGAAGAGAGGGAGGTAGAATGGAGGTAAAAGGAAAGACTGACGAGATTTACTGACCTTTGGGGGACGAAGAAGGGAGTTTCTTCCCCGGCAACGGCGACGCCTGATCGTGATGTCGCATTTCTTAGGCTGCAAGAATGTGCAAAGTTGGTTTAGGTTGAGACTGAAAGAGGGCGACAAGGATTTTCTTTTCTTGAACGAGCAGAGAGAGTGAGATGAAGGGAGGGGACTGTGTGTGTGTGTGTGTGGTACTCTGTTCCGTTCCTTGTATGCGAGATTTTTTGAATTGGTTTCAACGGTAACTTTCTAGAGCTGACATGGTTTCAACGGTAACTTTCTAGACTCTGCAAGAACCCAAACAGTCGGACGAAAAGATAACAAGGCCCGGCCCAAATCACTATTGGCCCGCCCATTTGTCCAACCCAAGTAAAAAAAATTGTCAAATAAACACAATTTTTATAAGGATAAATTGCAAGGTTGGTCACTTGAATTAATCATTAGTAAAGTTCACGTTAACCACTAGAATTACTTTATTTCATCCGTAGTCACTAAAATTAGGTTAACAATTCATGTTTGGTCACTGGTCGTTAGTCTCCGACTCTCCGTTAACTTTTGCTGATGTGGCGGTCAACTTTAATAATTGACCGTAAAATTATTGACATGGCAATTTAAAAAAAATTAATCGTTTAAAAATTTCATCTCATTATTACAATAAATTGAAAACTAAATATTATAATAATAGTAATAATTGCAATAACAACAAATACAAAAGTAAAAAACAAAATTCATTCGCCCATCTATTTCGTTGCTTCTTCTCCTACAATATAAAATGCATTCCCCCGGCATTTCTATGGTACAGCCACGGCACTAGCGCCGTCATCTTTGTAGTCGTTGGATCTGTAGATGTTAATGAGGTCATTGATTAATAAGTACCACTCAATCAAACATGGTTCAACCAGATATTATGGTTAAAGCTTTTTTCTTTTTCTTTTTTTTTTTGGTCGGAGCCTTTTTTTTTATTCAAATTCATTATTTTAATTTTTTTTAATAATCAACAAAAAGAAAATTATTTGTTTCTAAAAAACCCTTATTCCCTATTTTTATCATGAAGTTCCATTGATCGGCAGGAAGTGAAAGTGAACACCGGCACCCTAATTAATAATTTCACAACAAATCCATCTTCTTCGTCTCATGTTGATCATAATTCCCATAATTTGGCATTGCAACGGTGGGTTCCCCAGACAACTTTTTAACCGTCATCCCTCAGTACAGTTATGCTTGGGGCCGCGACATGAGTGTTGATGGCGAAGGTGTTTCCGAATGACTAGGTATCGGGATCTGAGAGCGTGTTAGGAACGGAACAACAAAAGGAACTAGGTTACCGAATCTGGAGCTGAGTCGCGGACTAGGTCGCTCTCTTTAAGACGTTCGCGGCACTGCCTTCGATGCGCACGGCAGACTATCAACCGGTCGTCTCCAGGATAAAACAGCTCCTCTCAATACTCGCGGTTTTGTGCGAAAACCGAAGCTCTCTAAACACTCTCTCTATTGTGTTTCTTCTCGTTGTGATGTGATTAGAGGGGCTGGGGAGGCGGCTATTTATAGGAGCCGAACCCCTAGGAATATACCCTCTTGCTTGGGGAATAAGTCGGATTAATTAAGGAAGATAATTACTTCCTTAATTAAAACCGTCGGTTAAGATAAACCCGGAGGGATTATCCTTCGAATATTCCGTTTTAGTCGATTATCCTTAGGAATATACCTCAGAATAACCGATTAATAATTAATTATTAGATAATTAATTTCGTTCGGAATTTCTCCAAAAATATATAGTCTCAAGTGAACCAACCAACCGACTGACCGAGGCCGGTCGGTCGGACAGACGGACGGCGCGCGCGCGCGTGTGTGTGGTGGTCTGTTAGGTCCTCCCTCTCCCACAAAAGTGGGTCACCCCAAGGGGCATGCCCTTGGGAGAGAGGCTCCTATCTTTATACACATTTCACCAAGTAAAATTACCAATGTGGTAGTTTTTCCACTAGAGACTCTATAGCTTTCAAAGCTATTCATATACATTTCCAACAATCCCCCACTTGAATAGTTCTGAAACTATCTCTGAGCATCAACAGTTCCATAAGATCGGGCATAAGCTAAGGTATCGCGAAGATTTGAACCTTAGCGTAGTGGTTACACTTCTGATTTCATAAGGGTGACTCGTAGTCTTGAACCCTATCTCAGACAGTGTAGCACACCGGATCTTTTCATTGAGTTGTGTTCTCTTCATAGCCCGTGCGTTTATGGCCATGCACGTTACCCTGGTTTAGTGAACGCTCTAGCAACTTTGTGCCTCCAAAGTTCCATAGGGAGCGGCCCCACTCCCACATTCACATAGGTGAGTCTATCAAGAGTACCCCCAAAGTAAAGTACTCCACCCCACATAGCGTATAGATCTCATTAAGAGTTATTAACTCAACCTCCATTGCTTTGGGATTCATGCTTCACTATGCATGAACTTTTCGCATACTACTCATGACTTGTTATTACCCATTGAACCCATTTCTTGGGATCTCCAGTCTATTGGGTCGGGTTACCATCACTTGTAGTCCGTGGTTCGGTAGGCATAAGTCCCATACCCTTGGCGGTATTCTGGACTTTCTCTCTAGGTAATCCTTTCGTCAAAGGATCAGCTAGATTCTGTTCGGATCTTATATGATCCACCCTCACTGCTCCTATCGTTAGGAGTTCTCTTATAGTACTGTGCTTACGACGAATTTGTCGTTTCTTTCCGTTATAGAACCGGTTCTCAACTTTAGCGATAGCTGCGGTACTATCACAATGGATCAATACCGGAGGGACCGGTCTTTCCCATAGGGGAATCTCTGAAAACAATCCTCTCAACCAACTTGCTTCTTCACTAGCCGTTGCTAGTGCTATCATCTGTGATTCCATAGTTGATTGAGCTAGGATTGTTTGTTTCTTTGACTTCCAAGACACAGCTCCACCAGCGATGTTAAAAACATACCCGCTGGTTGCCTTGGAGTCATCTGATAGGGTATTCCAATCCGCATCACTATACCCTTCTAGTACAGCAGGAAACCTTTGATAGTGTATACCAAGGTTCGCTGTTCTCTTGAGGTATCTCATGACCCTCTCTATAGCATTCCAATGCTCTCTACTAGGACAGCTGTTAAACCTGCCAAGCAATCCCACGACATATGCAATGTCTGATTGAGTGTAATCTGCAGCATAACGGAGACTGCCAATGATGCTAGCATATTCTGATTGTCTTACACTGTCTCTAGTGTTCTTAAATAGCTTTACACTAGCATCATACGGAGTACACGCAGGTTTACAGTCGAAATAGTTATATTTCTTCAAGATCTTCTCTATGTAGCTAGATTGATCTAGAGAATAACCATTTGCTGTTCTAGTTATCTGGATTCCAAGCATAAACTTTGCTTCTCCCAGATCTTTCACCTCAAAGCTCTCTTTTAACATGGCTTTTGCTTCATTGACCACGTGAATATTTGTACCAAATATCAACATGTCATCTACATACAAACATATGATAGTACAAGTGTTATTTTCTGACTTGCAGTAAATACACTTGTCACTTTCATTCACCTTAAAGCCATGTGAGAGAACGAGAGTGTCAAACTTCTCATGCCACTGTTTTGGAGCCTGTTTCAAACCATATAATGATTTGTCTAACTTACAGACTTTCGAGGCATGTTCGGGGATAACAAACCCTTCTGGTTGTTCCATATAGATTTCTTCATCCAGATCACCGTTCAAAAAAGCGGTCTTAACATCCATTTGGTGTACCACGAGATTGTTCAAGGCAGCAAGAGCAATCATTACACGAATGGATGTTATTCTAGATACTAGTGAATAGGTATCAAAGAAATCTATATTCTCTCTCTGCCTGTAGCCCTTAACTACTAGGCGAGCTCGGAACCTTTCGATTGCACCATCAGGTTTCCGTTTCGTTTTTAGAACCCATTTATTACCTAAGACTTTGCAGCTAGGAGGTAAGTCTGTTAGATGCCAAGTCTTATTAGCTTCTAACGATTCCATTTCGTCTATAACGGCCTCATTCCAAAAATCTGCATCTACGGAAGTTAATGCTTCCTGCAAACTTTTTGGATCTTCGAGGGTGAATACTGTAGTAAAGTCATCACCAAAATCTTTAGAGATTCTAGCTCTTTTACTTCTTCTGAGTTCATCCTCAGAACCAACACCCCCACTAGTTCCGTTATCTCTAATAGCGGGTAGTACATTACCCCCACTATTTCTTGTTTTAAATGGAAATCGTGTCTCAAAGAAATCAGCATCAATGGATTCTATTATAGTACGAGCATTCAAATCATAGAATCTATATGCCTTACTATTGGCCGCATAGCCAACGAAGACACATTCATATGCTCGACTAGCCAATTTAATCCTCTTAGGATCCGGAATTCTTACGTAGGCCAAACAGCCCCACGTTCTTAAATAGGACAGATTAGGTGGCTTATTCTTCAAGATCTCATAGGGTGATTCTTTTCTATTTGTTTTTGGAAGACGGTTTAGCACATAGCAAACTGTCAACAAAATATCACCCCACCAAGAAGAAGCAGCTCCAGAATTGAGCATAATAGCCACAACTAATTCTGTAAACGTCCTATTTTTCCGCTCAGCTTTACCATTCATTTCTGGTGAATATGGTGCCGTGGTTTCATGAATGATACCATGTGAGCTATAGAATTCCTTGAAGGGATTAGAGTCATACTCTGATCCTCTATCACTCCTAAGTCTTTTTATCTTTCGATTGCACTGATTTTCAAATTCAACCACAAATACCTTGAACATATCAAGGGCTTCACTTTTGTTTTTCATCAAATAAACAAAGCAATAATCAGAGCAATCATCTATGAAAGTGATAAAGTATCTCTTGCCAGACCTAGTTAACGTCCCATCTAAATCACAAATATCAGAATGAATAAGATCTAAGGGTTCTGATTCTCTACTCACAGATTTATGGGGCATTTTCGTTATTTTAGCTTGGCTACAGAAATCACATTTATCAAATTCATTCATTGAGAGTTTAGGGATATGTCCTAGCTTGCTTAAATTCTTCACAATACGTGTGTTCACATGACAAAGACGCGCATGCCAGACATTCAAATCACACACCATGTAAACTGAAGAATTTATCTTATTAATTTCGACATTCAACTTGAACATCCCATTACATGCATATCCTTTTCCCACAAAACTCCCATTCTTAGTAAGGGTATACAAGTCTGCCCCAATAGATTGATTAAACCCAGCCTTATTAAGAAGATATCCCGAAACAAGATTCTTCCTTATCTTTGGAGTGTGCAACACATCCTTGAGCACCATCTTCTTCCCAGAGGTGAAGTTCAGCTCCACTTCACCAGAACCAGTAACCGTAGTGGTGTGAGTAGTCCCCAACAACACTTTCTTGTCAGCAGGTGCTTCTGTGTATGTTTTAAACATAGCACGATTGTTGCATACATGCTTCGATGCACCTGTATCCAGCCACCATCCTTCTGAGTCACCGGTGAGGTTAACTTCAGCGATCATTTCTGTGATCATGGCTATCAAATCCTCTTCTGTCAAGTTAACCCTGGCAGCAGCGGCAGGGTTTGGCTTGTTCCGGCACTTCTTTGCCATATGACCCGGTTTTCCACAGTTATAGCAGATAAACGGTGGGTCATTCTTAGAGGTTTGGGCCATGACCCTTTGGTTACCTCGAGAGGCACCATTCTGGTAGGGCGGACCTGCTGGTTCTTACTCTTAAACCCTTTCTGGTTAGGTTTAAGAGCTCTAGGGGTGGGTCGTTTAGCAGTGACGACCATCACCTCTTCTTTCATATCCTGCTTGCGGGACTCTTCCTCAATCCTTAGGCGAGTAATCAAGCTTTCCAGTGAAAATTCTTTGGTTTTGTGCCTAAGCATATTCTTAAAATCTTTCCACGAAGGGGGCAGCTTATCAATAATGCAAGCAACTTGAAATTGATCGTCCTGAGGCATACCTTCAGAGACGATCTCATGAGCTATTTTCTGAAGTTCGTGGGACTGAACTTCGACGGACTTGTCATCCACCATCTGGTAGCGCAGGTAGCGGCTGACAGCATACTTCTTAGCTCCAGCCTCCTCCGTGTCGTACTTCTTTTGAAGCGCATCCCAGATCATCATCGCGGTGTTCTTACTGTCCGCATAGTAGTCGTACAGATCGTCTGCCAGGCCGTTGAGGATGTAGTTCTTGCACAGGAAGTCATGCTCCCTTTCCCTGGCAGAAGCAGCCCTCTCCTCATCGGTCGCTTCTTCCGGCAGCTCAACGGGCATGCTGGTGAGGCAGTGGGCAAGCTTTTTGGTTGTCAGGTAGAATTCCATCTTTTGCCTCCAGCGACGGAAGTTGACCCCAACGAAGCGAAAGGGTCGATTGATATCGACAGCACCAGATCCGGCCATGTTGTTCTGTTCAGTCGACATAGCAGCAGCCGAACGTCTTAAAATTGTTAGGAACGGAACAACAAATGGAACGAGGTTACCGAATCTGGAGCTGAGTCGCGGACTAGGTCGCTCTCTTTAAGACGTTCGCGGCACTGCCTTCGATGCGCACGGCAGACTATCAACCGGTCGTCTCCAGGATAAAACAGCTCCTCTCAATACTCGCGGTTTTGTGCGAAAACCGAAGCTCTCTAAACACTCTCTCTATTGTGTTTCTGCTCGTTGTGATGTGATTAGAGGGGCTGGGGAGGCGGCTATTTATAGGAGCCGAACCCCTAGGAATATACCCTCTTGCTTGGGGAATAAGTCGGATTAATTAAGGAAGATAATTACTTCCTTGATTAAAACCGTCGGTTAAGATAAACCCGGAGGGATTATCCTTCGAATATTCCGTTTTAGTCGATTATCCTCAGGAATATACCTCAGAATAACCGATTAATAATTAATTATTAGATAATTAATTTCGTTCGGAATTTCTCCAAAAATATATAGTCTCAACCAACCAACCAACCAACCGGACGGACGGCGCGCGCGTGTGTGTGGTGGTCTGTTAGGTCCTCCCTCTCCCACAAAAGTGGGTCACCCCAAGGGGCATGCCCTTAGGAGAGAGGCTCCTATCTTTATACACATTTCACCAAGTAAAATTACCAATGTGGTAGTTTTTCCACTAGAGACTCTATAGCTTTCAAAGCTATTCATATACATTTCCAACAGAGCGCAATGACTTTGTGCATGGCATCGGCGGCATAGACGATGCTTTTAATGTTGGTAGCGCGGCCGGTCGTGATTCCGACTGACAAGCAAATCGGGAGTGCGCGATGGCCGAGTGCGTGGTGGCGGCGGCAGGGACGAAGCTAGTTATGATCGGGCGGTGGCAAGAACGATGATTACGGTGGTGATTCTGACTAAGCAGTGATTCGATATTAGCGTGATGATGATTTAACGACGATGATGATGGTAGTCAGTTGGTCGGTAACTTGAATCGACGGAGGAGTCATCTTCCTTCAAAGACGATGGAGAAGAAAAGAAATAAAGGGGGAAAAGAGGAGTGGTTTAAATCATACCCAACAAATATTGTTTAAATCATTTCAAACCAAACCCATTTTATTTGAACCGGTCAGGATTAATGCAGGCATCGGTGCCGTCACGGCACCACAGAATTGCCCTGCATTCCCCACCTACTCATTTTGGTTCACAAGAAGGTCCCTGTCCTCATCCACAACGGTAGCCCCGTCAGCGAGTCTCTCATCATAGTTCAGTACATCGACGAGTTCTGGCACGGCGACGGCAAGCCTGTCTTCCTCCCCTCCGATCCATGCCAAAAATCCCAAGTCCGATTCTGGGCCCATGATAACTCACATCAAACACTCAGTTCCAGAACTAGATGCCAAAGACAAAACCAAAACACACCATATCCTTATATCACAGAGTATCAAAGGATTCAAATTCAGCAACAATCATCAAGTGCACACAGGCCTATTTCGATTCGATATCAAGGATCGGCATTCATTCTGAGAAAAGTACTTAGACGAGTTCAATGTATGCCATGGGGGTATTGTCCCCAAACCTAGGCAGAGTTCTGATAATTCTGGTGTATCCGCCATTTCTCTCCCCATATCTGTCCGGGACTTCTGCGAACAGGGCATGTACAATCTGCTTCTCATAAATGAAACCCATTGCATGTCTCCTCTTGTAAAGTGACCCATCCTTGGCTAATGTAATCATCTTGTCAACAAACTTCCTCATGGCGCTAGCCCGAGCTCTAGTGGTTTTGATCCTACCGTGTTTTAACAACTGCGTGGTGAGACCTCTCAACAGTGTTTTTTGTTGGTCTGGAGATCGATCGAGCCTTGCAATTCGCTTCCCATGTCTCATTGTGAAGAATCGTGACCCATTGTCAATGGAAGGGAAGCAATGGTTGCGCTAGAATGTTCCGCAAGAATCAAATAACCCATTGTGACCCACTAACCACAAAATTGAAGCAACATGTAGTTAAATGCAGCTAAATTATCAATTGAATGAAGGAAAAAGAAAAGGAATTTAGAAGCGGGGAAACGGGAAACCGAATCGTTGGTCGCGAAATGAATTATAGCGACGAAGTCAAATGTGGAAGTAGTAGGAAGCGGGAAATTACAAGTAAAGCCAAGGGAAAGGAGTGGGTTAAGAGGAGCACGTCCGGCAAAAGAGTGCAGTGGTGAGCTATGGCGAGAGACGGCGATGGCGTGGGACGTACAAGAGGATTGGAATCGTATACAGACAATTGGAGGATTAGAAGAATCCAAAGAAGGACTAGGGAGAGGAGCGCTTAAGGAAGCCATGCTCCATCTGCTGTCACAAGTACTGGCCGCCACCGCCGTCATGAGCATCGTCATCTTGGCGTTTTGTAAAAGTGGAAGATGAAGAAGAAGATAAAAAGGGACCCAACACTCGCCAGACCAGTGGGCGGAATTTGTAAAAGAGGAAGATAATTATTTTTTATTTTTTAATAATTTTGATAATGAGGTGGAAAATAGAAATTGTTATATTTTATTTTTTAAAAATTGTCACATCACTCATTTAACGGTTAACTATTAGAGTTGATCGCCACATCAGCAAAAGTTAACGAAGATTAACGACGAGTGACCAAACTTGAACGGTTAACCTAATTTAAGTGACTACGCATGGAATCAAGTAATTCTAGTGGCTAACGTGAACTTTACTATTAATTCAAGTGACCAAACTTGCAATTTAGCCATTTGTATAAAGTGCAATTTTGGTTTGTGTTAACTAAATTGTTGCAGTTTGTCACTAAAACTATTTTGTTTCATTTGTAGTTTTTAAGATGGCAAAATACAGTTGTATATCCACAACTATTAGGTTTGTGACAAATATATCCACAACTATCGAAATACACGAAATATCCATTTTCGTCCACTCCGTTAACTCCGTCAGTTAACTTGATGACTGGACAGACGGTGGATGCTTAGTTGGCGTCTTTCTGACCCCACTAAATGACGTGGATTAAAAGAGGAAAAAAATTTAGGCAAAATACAGTTGTATATCCACAACTATCAGGTTTGTGACAAATATATCCACAACTATCGATATACACGAAATATTCAAAAATCGGAAGGTTGTGTGACAAATCTATCCATTTTCGTCTGAAACTATAACGACGTGTCAGACGGCATTAAATTGACCAACGGAATGCTGAATCGATGCCATCTCACCTGCCACATAAGCCAAAAAGCAACCAAACTTTACACCGTTATCTATTAGACCTCGCTGCTGCAGTCTTCTCTGTTGGCGATTTGGTTAGATTCAAGTTTTTTGTTTATAGATTCAAACTTGGTATCACCATGGCGCCGACTGCAAGGAAACTGTCGGAGTAAAAGGGAGGCAATGGTTGGGGATTGTGGTTGGAATCGAAATTTGGGCTTGGGGTAGGTTTATTTGGGGGTGGAGCCGTCGATCGGGGGAGGATAAGTGGTTATCGGGCATGTTTCTGGGTTGCATTTTTAGTCTCGCTGTCTTTGGTTTTTAGGGTTTTAAAAAAAATTTCCCTCTTTTAATCCACGTCATTCAGTGGGGCCAGAAACACGTCAACTAAGCATCCACCGTCTGTCCAGTCATCAAGTTAACTGACGGAGTTAACGAAGTGGACGAAAATGGATATTTCCTGTATTTCGATAGTTGTGGATATATTTGTCACAAACCTGATACTGGTGGATATATTTGTCACAAACCTGATGATTGTGGATATACAGCTGTATTTTGCTTTTATTCAACTAGCCTATTTGGCATCTACGTGTAAAGTTTGGTTGCTTTTTGGCTTATGTGGCAGGTGAGATGGCATTGATTCAGCATTCCGTTAGTCAATTTAACGCCGTCCGACACGCCGTTATAGTTTCAGACTGAAGTGGATAGATTTGTCACACGACCATATGATTTTTGGATATTTCGTGTATTTCGATAGTTGTGGATATATTTGTCACAAACTTGATAGTTGTGGATATACAGCTGTATTTTGCCTTTTAAGATTAATTCAATTGTTCAAGTCTCGTCGTTGATTGTCTAACTCCGTTAACTTTATCTTATTTGGCATCTAACCGTAATAGTTGACCGTTGAATACGTGTTGTAGCAATAAAAAAAATTGATCTTTTCAGCTTACCATCACCATTATTAGAAAATAAAATAAAATAAAATAAAAAACTAATTTCTTCTAAACCGCCCAAACTCAATCTCATTCACGCTGCTACGCCTACCTGAATCCTAACCACCGCCATGAGTGAGAATCAGAATCCCCTCACTCGGAGCAACACGTTGATCTATCCCCCATTGAGGAATTTCACAATACTATATAGCATTGGTGCTATAGGTTTTTGCTTTTATGATACAATTTGAAGTTGTACGTTAACGTTATGGTATAACTTCATATTGTACCTATACTCTTTTGTACAAATTCTTTGATAATACAACTTGAAGTTGTACATTTATGTGATGGTACAACTTTAAGCTGTAAAGTTGTACCATAACATAAGGGTACAAATTCCTTTATGGTACAACCTGAACTTATACATTTAACATTATGGTACAACTTTAAGTTGTACATTAAAGCCCCAATACTTTGTAGCATAGTAGAAGTGCTCATCCCCCATTATAGCAGCTCCTTCTCCTTTAGCAGAATCCAAAGCCCCGGACTACTCCCCTACCTAAAATTCAACCCTAAAGACTCTGCGGCCCCTTCCAAAAATTAGTCAGACGTTTCTCCTTCTCCTCCATCGTCGTCGGAAGTGTCCTCGCTCTACTCCTCCTAGTCTATGTTTAAAATAGGGTTAATTGCATGGTCGGTCACTAAGATTAAAAAAAACGTTCATGTTTGGTCACTGGAAATATTTAAATCCAATCTTGGTCACTTAAATTAGTTAAATGGTTCAAATTTGGTCACTCTCCGTCCAACTCCATTGAATTTGTCTGATGTGGCAGTCAACCCTCAAAGTTGACCGCTAATTCAGTGAAGTGGCAATTAAAAATAATAAATAAAATAGATTTTAATCTTCTACAATTTTCAACTCATTTTCACAATAAAGTAAAATAAATAAAGTTAAAAAAATTATTTTTGGTTGCGGGGAAGGGATGTGTTGGTGGAGGAGGAAGCACCCCTGTTCAATAAGAGCATCGAAGAAGCTACAAATAAGTCTCAACGAAGCACACAAATAAGACTTCAATAAGAGCATCGAAGATCTACAAATAAGTCTCAACAAAGCACAAAAATAAGACTTCAATAAGAGCATCGGTGATCTACAAATAAGTCTCAACGAAGCACACAAATAAGACTTCAATAAGAGCATCAGTGAATCTACAATATGAGAGTGTTCAACTACCTCTATCTCCAATAAAGGGCACTAAACGTGCACGGTAAGCCCGTAACGTAATCGTGCGGCTGTCACAAGCGCACCAATGCAAGAGTACACACTTGTGTGTGTGTGAAGAACTCCAATAGGAGAGTGCTCAATACCTTGGAAAATTTTCAACAAGCAATGGCTCAGCGCCTTGGAGATTCCAATAGAAGAGCGCTCAACGGCTTAATGAAACACACCAACTGGGGGGCATGACGCAGGAAGCTGGAAACCGCTTCAGCCAAACGCACCACCAGCTGGGGGGCAACTGGGGGTACATAGGGCTCCATCCAAAATTACCGACGAAGATTTAAAAAAATAATAATAAATAATAAGCTAGTGATGAGTTAAAACTTACCACCAGCTTGGGGGGCAATTGTTGGGGGTGTTACTAAGATACTCCGCGCACAAACTAAGTAGTAGGGCGCACAATCGGCGATGCCCAACGCTCAAAACCCGCTACAGGTATATAAGGGCTTGAAGCCCTCCAAAGGAGGGGACTTCTTCTCTCTCCTCACTTTCTACTTTCCACTATCTCTCTACACTTCATCTCTCTACCTTGTTCTCTCAACTCTCTCCTGAAACTCAAACTAACTTGATCGTCGGAGCTCAATTCGGGGGGCATCCTTGACTTTCCACAGGTTCTCTCCCTCCCGACAAGATCAGACGAACGGATGACGAGTCAACCCACACAACAATATCATTGTTCATACCTCGAGCTAGATGGTACAAACAGGTTGTGTGGTATGCATCTCCGGGTAGAGAAATTGAGAGGGGTTGGATAGCTCAAATATGGCAGCGTCTGCCGGGGGGCCGGGGGGGGGGGGGGGGGGTCCAATCTAGTCTAGAAATCTCTGTGGTATAAGTATTGAGTCAATTAATCTAGTTAGTACTCAACATCGGTCCAAATAATGCAGTTAGAAGATTCATGCCTAAGTGAGCTCCCAACCTTGTAGTTAGAGTAGATGTTAGTGTAGTTGGTTTAGCCTTAATCACTATTCTTATTTGGCTAGATAGCATAACTAAGTTGAAGTAGCGGTACACCTAAAGATCTGTGGTTCGATAATTGTATTACTTTGCTTTACCTATGTTACACCCCATAATCGGTTATGCTTGGCCCTCGATTTAGAGTGTGTAGTTAGCACAACAAAGTGAGTCTTCTAGAGTGACATAATTTTTTGCTTGGGATGTACTTACCGTTTTTGACATAATAACAATACAAGAGTGACATTTTTGGTAACTAAAGCACCTAAAAAATAAACATGGCCTAGATAAACAAAAGGAATGAACAATTGCATTTCATGAGCATCTAACCTTACTGTAGTTGCAGTCCGACACTATAAAACTATAAAACTACAGTGTTACATTATTTTAACTTTTATGAACGATATTAAAATGAAATGTTAGTTATGGAGACACATTACCTCCGCTTCATATTATCATCTAATATTAATTCAACGAAAGAAGACAGTGGCAACAATTGTACTGTTTCTCCATGTAGCTATATTATACATCATCATTAAAAGTTAAAACTATAGAGGCTCAAGTTTTCTCATTGCATCATGCAACTTTGTTCTCACATAGACATTATAACAAATAGATCACATAACTTAGCTAGAGATAAACATAAATTAATTGATGTATTTTTAATGGAAAATAAATTTCCCTCTTATATTTGATTGGAAAAGAGATTGTGCACATCCAACTAAGGTAGCTATGTTGGTAAATTTGGGAATGATGGAGGCTTGGGCGAGGTTGAAGTATGGATTTTTTCATAGATGTGGTAAGCTTGGTTGTTCAACTCATTCTCAAACCAATATAGAAGTAGAAGGAAAATGTTGCGAGGAATGAAAGTTTAATGAATTTATGAATAACATAATTCTAAGCAGAGTAAAAATATATATATATATAAATGTATGCAGAAAGGGGTTGTATTTGTTGGAGGTAAGAGGATAGAAAATCATATCTTTGAACGGAGTAGGCTAAGAGGGCT